GGAGTCCAGGCCCCCAGCCCCTCCTCCTCCCTCAGACCCTGGAGTCCAGGCCCCCAGTCCCTCCTCCCTCAGACCCTGGAGTCCAGGCCTCCAGCCCTTCCTCCCTCAGACCTAGTTTCAGCCTGGGGTTTTCTTGTTCCCAAACTCACCATAGATTGACTTGGCACTTGGTTTGGGGGCAGCTTCTGGGCTGGTTAAGGAAAAGAGAGAGAAAGGGGCCATGGGAACTGGGAGATCATGGGGGCTTTGAATGCCAAGCAGAGCAGCAAAGACTTCATTGTGAGGGCAGTTGGGAACCATGGAGGGTTCTGAGCAGGGGAGGGCAGGCCCAGAGCTGGACTTTCCCACAGGTAAGGCAGTGTGGTACCAGGTGGTGGAGAGCATGGTCTCAGCTGTCGTACAGACCTGGCTTGGAATCCCCTGTCAATACTGTCTTGCCATAAGACCCTGGATAGGAGACTTAATCTCTCGTGCCTCAATTTCCCTTTCTGTGAGATAGGGGTAATTAATCCGATAGCCTCTGTCTGGTAGAGCTATTGGATTCACTGACAGTGGAGGGGGTTCACAGCCTCAGCAAATTAAATTTCAGTCCTACAGTGTGAATGGTAGCACACAGTATGTGCTCAATAAAGGGGGTGTTTTACACCAGCATTAGTATTTGGGGTAGACAGACTTATCTTCCCCTCCTACTCCCACAGGCCAGGCTCTTCCCAGCCAAATCCTTCTCTGGCTCCTGCTCTTGGCCTCTCCTTCTAGGTCACCTTCTCCAAGAAGAACTCCATAGAAATGACAGAAACTCAGAGCTCAGGTGGGATGAGGGACAAGAAACACTTTCAGTCAAACCTCTGCTCCTTGTCCTGCTCCTGCCTGTCAGATCTCTGCACAATTTGATTACCCCTGTGCTGGACAATTCACTACCGTATATCTTCAATGCAGCTATTCCCATGGGCCTCCCTTTGTTCTTCTCGATGCTCACTCCAGGAGACTTGAACTTTATTAGAAACAGCCCAGGGGCTCCTGGGTGGCACAGGTGGTTAAGCGTTGGACTCTTGGTTTCGGCTCAGGTCATGATCTCAGGCTCATGAAATCTAGTCCCACACTGGGCTCCGTGCTCAGCGTGGGGTCAGCTGAAGACACTCTTGCCCTCCCCCTCTGCCCTTTCCCCCACACCCCCATGTTCTCTCTCTTTCTCTCTGAAATAAATAAGTCTTAAAGAAAAAAAAAAAAAGCCCAGATTTGCCTGCAAAGGGTCAATGTCTAATAATAAGCTAACAACAGCAGAAGCAGAAGAGAGTACCTGCTCTTGGTCAGATTCTCTGCTAAGTCCTATACCTTCATTACCCTGTCAAGCTCTCAGAATTGTCTTTGTTTCCCAGAGGAGGAACTCAGGCTTGGTTCTTTGGCCAGGGTCACACTGCTGCTGAGTGTGAGCGTCCAGAGATGAACCCAGGTGTGTCTGCTCTGGGGCAGTAGCTCAAACCCAGGCCAGGCAGGGAAGGAGGCAGCGTAGGCATCCTTCTCAGAGTCCAGGCCTGGGCTGCTGTAAATGCCCCCTGGGGATGTGGGGAAGAGGGTGGCAGACGGGGCTGGGCAGCCTGGGGAGCAGGGGCCACTTACCCTGTGGTGGTGCTCATGGTGTGGAGAATGGGGAGCTCCTGCCACCTGAAGGTGCCCTAGGGGCCAGCAGAGAGTGAGGGCCTGACCTGGCCTGTGGTACCTAGGACTTTGGCCCCAGCCCCCTCCTCCCTCAGACCCAGGAGTCCAGACCCTCAGCCCCTCCTCCCTCAGACCCAGGAGTCCAGACCCCCAGCCCCTTCCTCCCTCAG